CTTCTAGTGAATAAGCAAGATTCGACAATTTAAATTTAGAATGCATGAGATCCTTAACACTTGAGTTAGCTTTTCTTGTAAATTTTTTTTTATTATTTGGAAGATAAAATAAAACAAAAAATTGCTAGACAGCTATCACTCGATATTTACATAACCATGAACCTATTCTCTGAAAAGCAATGAAACTACACTATTGTTATATGTTCTTTAACTTCCGACTTTCTTCGAACCGATGTTACCTGGTATCTCTTATTTATTAGTAAATACAGCATTTTAATGTTGTTTGTAATATTAAGGTATGTGAGTTATATCCATTCTTCCCTAGTTTAAATGCGTTGTACACAGTCAAAAATGTCCGACTTTACGCGTTTTAAACCGTTGATCTCGAAAATGCGTTTTAATCGTTTGTCTCTTCTACCATTTTAACTATGTGAAAGCTGAAAAAAATGCGATTGTTAAAACGCCAAAATTCGGACATTTTTTACTGTGTAAAATGCGTTACAAGATAAAACGCAAAACGGTCGTTATAACGCGTCAATTTAACTTTTTTGACTGCTTGGGTATGCAATATAAAATAATTGGATAAACGAACGAATAATATTGACTTACACAATGACAACAAATCCGTGGGTGTGTTTTTGTTTCATTGCTTAAACGGAAAATAAAAGATCAACATCAAATATTGTGAGAAGCAAAAACATCTGTTTGTTCGATAGTTTTTATTCTTATAAAAGATATAGTGCGTTGACGCTTTGATCATTTGCACTTCACAATAGCATCAGTTTTATTGAATAAAGTAAGTTGAATTAATAAAAATATATTTGAACAAAAATTGTCATTTTCTAGAGGATATATTAAACAATAATAATGAATTGTGTTCGATTGACATTTATTCTTCTTAGCGTATTCATCGCTATTATTCATTGTTCAGTTACTTTTCAAAGAGAAAATCAAGATGAAATTGATCCATTTGGTTTAATACGAGATAATTATGGATGTGATGCTGCTGTTAAAAGTTGTGGAAATAAAGGCAAGTGTTGTGACGTTCACGATGCTTGTTATAAACGACATGGTTGCAGTGCTATCAGTTGGTTTTATTTGTGTAAGTGAAATTTCATTCATTACAGTTTCATTTGTTGGTGTTTTAGGGGGAAATTGTCGACAATGCAATTTAGACGTAATGGCTTGTGTTGTCAGACAAAATCCTGGTGTAAGTTCATGTTGTTCAGCAAAAAATTGTGGACAAGCACGACCATAATCTTTACTTCTTCATGTTTAGTGCAATTTACCTTTTTTTAAACTAAAATATCCCCTAATTCTATCTTTATAACGAAAACTGTTTCTATTAAAAAATGAAATGATCATTTTTAATAAAAAAAATCAATTGGTATAAAACCAAGGATGATGAATAATTTGATCAATAGAATAAGTAATGATTGATGAAATTGTTGAGCAAATATAAGATGAAGGACAATTAATAGAATACTTCGAAGAGATTGATGTAAATTTTCTGAATACATCATATCAACTGGTTCGAAATTTTGCGATCTCGTGCCGATTCAATAAAAATTAAATCATTTGAAAGAGCATGAAAAATTGAGTATAGTAACTAATTTTCTCTGAAACGGACTCCCAAGTCCCCAGCAAAATTTTTTAAAACAAGATTCTCCAATAGAAACAACCAGAATCTATCGTTCTCTCTATCTCTCTCTGGATCATCTTTTTTTTCGTTCTCTTGTTTTCAGCGTATGGCTTCGTATGAAGATGAACATATACAAGCTCATACATATATTACGCTTACAGCTAACAGTAAAGAAAAAAGAGAATCTTGTTATATTGCTCGCGATGATGATGGTGTGAGTGTGGGTGTCGGTGTGCCTGAAGAAACGAACAAGAACTCACACCCAGCGCACACCTACACCCTCGAAGAAGTAACTTCTGTTTCAAACGATGATATAATCGATCCTATCGATTGTTATCGGCATTTCATCACGGACGAAATTATTGGTCTAATGGTTCGTGAAACCAATTGATATGCAGAGCAATACTTGCGAGTCCATGGGATTAGAAGCCGGTCAAAATTTCATCAATGGAAACCAACCACTGATGAAGGGATGCTCAAGTTCTTTGGGATCATTATCAAGATGGGTTTGGTACAAGTGCCAAAAAGGATATACTACTGGAGTAACAGTCAGTTGTATGGGTCGGAGATCATTCAAAATGTCATATCGAGAGAGAAGTTTGAATTACTCCTGAAGTTTTGGTATTTTTCGAACAACGATAACGAAAACTCGAACCAAGATAAACTGTTCAAGTTGAAACCACTCTTAGATTTACCGAAAGCGAGATTTTCGTCAGTATATATGCATGATTCGTTTATTACCATGGACAAAACTATAATACCATGGTGAAATAGACTTTCGTTTCGAACAATAAATTCCTGGAAGAGCTCACAATAACAGCGTAAAGCTGTACAAGCTATCGGCTACCAATGGATACACCTGAAATTGGGTGACCTATACTAGTGAGAAAGATCCCATGACAGATCTTGAACATGCTCAAATAGTGGTAATGAATTTATTAGATGGTCTATCGGAATGTTATTCAGCTGCAGTAGCTGATAACTTCTTTACGAGTATTTCTCTTGCGAAACTTTTGTTGGAACATGATACGTATCATATTGGAACACTTAGAAGCAATCGTGCCGGATCTGGAAGTAAAGGTCTTCAGAAAAATTTGACACATGGTGAAGTTTACGGGCTCCAGAATAAAGATGGCATAAAATTGATTATGTGGAAAGATGAAAAAAGAAGTCTTCATGATATTCGCAAGACTGTTGCATTCAGCAACTGTGGTAGACATTGGAAAAGCCAACAGAATAAACGAATGTATCATGAAGCCACAAGTTGTCATAGATTATAACAAAGGAAGACAAGACAGTGATTTATCGGGGCAGCTATCAGAGTATCACACGCTCCTCAGGGGCTCAATAAAGTGGTACGGAAATGTGACATTTGAATTGGGTTTTGGCACGGCAATTGTAAATAGTTAATTGATTTACAAGGAAAACTATTGCACGAGCGACGTGACCATTCTGCAGTTTTGCGAAAGTCTTGTCCGATCTTTACTGCTTGGTTCATCATTTAAAGCGCAAACTCGCTGATCACTAGCTCGAAGACAAGGAAGAATCTATGCGCGATATCGGCGGACGTTGTACTGGCTGCTATGCAAAGGGAATTGTACAACAGTCAAGAGAAGCGAGGGTGTGAGTGTGGGTGTGGAGTGTGGATGTGGGTGTGGATGTGGATGTGGGCTGTGGGCGGGGTGGGTGTATGGATGTGGATGTGAGTGCAAGTCTTGTATTCAACCATACCCACACCCACACTCCGCACCCACTCACACCTACACACCAACATTCACACCCCACACCGCATCCCCTCACACCCACACACCCACACGCCCACACCCGCACCCTTGTTTTTCTTTTCTTAACTCTGAAATGCCTCTTTCATAGATAGAAAAAAGAAAAACAAACAAAGAGAAGAAAAGACAACAAAGATATTTAGTAGAAATTGTATAATCTCGTGTTCTCAACATGGGTCATAATATGAACTAATTCATTTTGTTTCATTTATTGAAATTGTTTAGCTGTGAGGAAGCATGGAATAGGTATTTATTGTATAGTTCTTCATTGGATTATTTTGTTATTGTTATGTTGAGTTCAAGTGTACATGTTCTATTTAGATGCGATGTGTAATTCTCATTTCAACATTAGGACATTTGTTCATATGTATTTCAAATGTTATCCTATTGTTGGGTAAACGTCAACAAGCAGCAAAAGAGAAAGATGATGAAATTCGATGAAAACACTCAAACGGCTTGGAATTTGTTTCTTTATCAGTTATTGTTACTATTATTTGAACGAAATAAAAAATCATAACAATAAATAGAAGTAAAAAGTATTGTTTAATGAATATCCCTTCCTAAAAGCATTATATATACTGGAAACAGTCTCTGCCTACATTCGGTCCGAATTTTCTCTTTTCTTCTGGAACAGATTGAGGGTGATGTGGATGTAGGATGTAGGTATTCGTCTTCTCTTCACAACCACATCTACGTCCATACCTTTACTTCTTCGGCAACCTCAAATGTCGAAAAGCAGGAGTTGAAAATACTAGAATTAGACTTACTTTTCATTGCAACTACAATTCTGCTTGTCCTTTACATATTTCAAGATATTTACCTAGATTGATCAAAACCATTCGTGCGATTACTTTCAAAGAAAATGGCAAAAGAGTCTGATTGGCGTTTTGATCAGTGGCAGTAATATCAGAGGGTCACAATTTTCGAACCTTCGGCAACATTATTAGTCAAATATGTGAAATAGCACGTTATCATTTGAATAGAAACTGATACAAGTCACTAACGGCAAATATGAATCATTAGCACTTATCAGATGAAAAATATAAGCACGAGTCTACTTCTAATTTACAAAATTTGAGTGCATCAGATCGACGTCACTTTTTTTTATCTATAGTGCAACAGAAACTGTGTTTTCGTGTTTATTTATTTGCGTTCGTATCTCCACAGGTAAAACAACATATTCATTTCACGTGCGACTCACAAATAAAATTAAGCTTAGAATGTACATCCTTGAATTTTTGTTACTCTTATCTTTACCGGACATCGTTTATCAGCAGGAATATCAAACAATTCCTCTTCGCTTTGATGTAGCCATCAATCAACTTCTTCATCGTCATCATTACACATTTCACGAAATTGACTATGAAGCATATAGTTTCACACCTACTGAAATGCTCAAACTTAACCTACACTCCTCTAAAAGCAACGGAACAACCAAGTGTGAACAAGACTTTGCATTTTTGGTTAAAGCAGCTTTAAGACGTGATCTGTGGGCACTTAAAATCTTTGATTCATGGGGTAAACCATTACCATCTGGTTTACTCAAAGGAAACATTTTGTGGACGGGCAATTATGATGAATGCCTAGTTCCATTATATCAAGTAGTGAATAAAACCTTCGTACAACAACCATTTGATGGTCAATACTGTAAGTTAATGTAACACGTTTTATGAATATGAGATTATGAGAGAATGTTATCTTGTTAGGTGCTCTTTCTCTAAGTGGAACGACATCTGAAGGTACGATGTCTTCTGGACTTACTCTTGGCATCTGTGTACCTTGGTCGTGTGATCGCCAATCAATTACTATACTAGCTCGAAGTCTATTCAAAAAAGATAATATTACTGAAAATAATCTTCTCTGTTCGAATGATGCTGCTAGCAAACAAAAGAGTCTTCCTCGTGGTGTAGTGGTCACTTGTGTCGTTCTCTCACTACTCGGTCTCCTCGTGCTAATTGGTACCATCATTGATCTTCTTGCTTCTCGTCTTGAATCAGTTATTCATGTTGCTTCGCACATAAATGGATATGACCGTATATCGAGTATCACATCGACTGAGAGTAAATCAATTACATCACGACGATGTTCACATTTTTTCAATCAAACTCTACTACGTGCAACACCTCGAACAGTATTCATTGCTCAGTTTTCGGCTATACGTACATTACGTCGTATTTTTACAATGACAAAAAAAGACGATGAAAATTCACTTGCTTTTATCCATGGTCTTCGTGTACTTTCGCTTTTCTGGGTGATTTTCGGTCATTCTATTCTATTTAGCTTATTCTATACAAGCAACGCTGTCGATGTACTTTCTTGGTCTCATAATATGGCATTTCAATTAATTACTAGTGGTATATTGAGTGTAGATACTTTCTTTGTTCTCAGTGGCTTTTTGACAACAATTATCTTTGTTCGTGAAGTCACTAAAGCAAAATTTTCGTTTCGTCTTTTCATTCTTTATTACGTTCACCGATATATTCGTCTTACGCCGACGTTTCTTCTTGTTATTCTTATCAGTATCAATTTGACGCCATTCTTTGGTCGTGGGCCTATCTATCCAGCCCAAAATGGATTTGAATCCGACGGTTGCAGACATCGTGGTTGGTGGACAGATATTCTCTATGTTGGGAATTTAGTTTATCCCAATGATATGTGTCTAGGTATTTCATGGTATCTTCATAATGATATGCAGTTTCATTGGATTGCACCACTTGCGCTGATTCCTTTCGTCATCGGCCGAAAGTCGATTGGATATTTTGTTGCTATTCTATATGTTCTTGTCGGCATGGGATCGATTTTAGGCATTCTTCTGTATTATCCCACTATGTCATTGAATCTACTTGTAGACGCCACGAACTTGGTAAGTTATGGTTTATTGTACTTTTCTTGTTAATAACTAACGTCCTTTTTATAGAATGGTCCTAGCTTCTTCAACAAGATCTATATTACACCATGGTGCCGTATTTCAGCGTATGCTATTGGTCTTTTCACTGGTTTTATTGTTATCAACGTTGGTCGTTCATATCGTTCTAATACCTATACTAAAATATTTGGATCTCTTCTAGCGATTGTAGTTGGTCTGACCTGCGTCTTTGTGATGTATCTCGATTATGTTCTCATAGCAGGTCTCAATCGATCAGCACTCATTGCATATCAAGCATTGTCTCGTCCATGTTGGGCATTAGTGATTGGATGGATTCTCTTTTTGTGTAGTACAAATCAAGGTGGGATAGTCAACACGATTCTTTCATGGCCAGTTTGGGCTCCTCTAGCTCGTCTTAACTATTCGGCTTATCTCATCCATTTGACTGTTATGCTTACAACTATATACAATCAAACAATTCCCATTTACAATCAACCATTCGTGATTCTTAACACTTACGTTTCAAATCTATTCTTTATATATGTTACGGCTATTGTTGTCGTGATTTTTTTTGAAAATCCGTTCTCTGTTCTTGAAAAATACATATTCAAACGTTAGGTTAACAATTGACATTAAACATTCTGATCGTTTTCTCTTTGGCTCTCTTGCTTTGTTGTTTCTTGTTCAAATAAAGAAGGATGTGGGTCTGAGGGAGTGCTAAATTCAAGGGCGGAAAAGCAGATTTTAGTGCCCAAAATATTTCAAAATCCCTCTAAATCACTGTAAATCAGGTCGAAAGTGTTCAACTTGGTTCGAGATCTTTTAAGTGGTGTATTTCCTTCAGCCAAAGGACGGACTTATGGATAAAATGAAATAAGTTAATGTGCTTGTATGTCTGCTTGTTTCCAGTCACGTGTTCTCTTGTATTTCACAAACATTAGACTAACTTTGTAAGAGTGCTATGGGAATAATACAACGTTGACAATTAAATCGAAAATGGAAAAAATATGATCGATTGCCATCGATTCGAACCATTGATGACCAACCATATGTTTCGGCTTCCAGTTTAATTTCTATCATTTTATGATTATTATATGGCTACACTTGGAGCTATACTGTCGGTCAATCAGATTCGTCTCGTATTTTCCTCTTGTTCAATCGGGTTTTTATAGTAAACTATCAACTAAACTACTATTTTCACGATTACAGTTTCGTACATTCAGCCTGATAATCCTTCGGTTCTCCATGAATCAAATGTTGGGAAAGTTCAGTTGTCGACAAACTTTTTTTAATCGGAATTTTTGTCTTTAAGCTGTTTGCCGTGTCTAAGTTTCGTCTTATTGTGTTGTCACTCAGGACATTCAGTCAACCACATATATTTGTTTTCAACTATAGTATTGATTCAATCAGAGATTTCATACTTCGAAGTGAGCGAGTTAAACTAGCTCAATAGGCATGTCTCATCAGCACTCACGTTTTCTTTTTACTGGTTGAGCAATTAGTTTCAGATTCACACTGGTATTTCATTGGTATAGATATATGCACTCGGTCTATAGACAATTTCATAATGGCACTAGTTCTGGCAAGTTTTAATCAAGAATTCTGCAATGTATATTTTAATCATCTTGCGGAA